CCGCTTTTACTTCGGACGCTTCATGTTTTATTTTTTTATTATTTAGTTGTTAGTGTTTGCCTTCATAGAGACTCCCCTCGGATGTATTTAAATAATCTCTGCCAGCCCTGTCCTCCTCCTCCTACAGCCTCTTCCCGTAATGAGTCCTACGTGACGCTTTAAAGTGGAGGGGAAGGAAATGCTCAAGCCCCGTGATAAGAGGAATGTTTTGAGGTTTTTTTCCTTTTTTTTTTTTTTTTTTCTTTCTCCGTGTGGCTTAAAACGTGATCTGTTTTGGTTGGTTGGTTGTTTTTTTTCTCAGTGCACATGCACACACACACGCAGATACACGCATGTGACTGTCCCACCTTTACCAAACAAACATCTTTTTGACCCTTGTGACAAAAGCCGGAGCCTAAAGAACTCTTCTGAGAGAACAGGCCATAAGGAAGCAGCAACAGACACAACGTCGTGTTTGGGATTGCTTCCCACGGGAGAAGCAAGAGCCCCGTTCTTGCTCAGCACCTTAATGGAAAAATAAAGAGACTTAATTACAGCACTCTCACTAATGCTGGGGTTGTTTCCTTGCTAAACAGATGCTATTCAAAATAGGAAAGTTACATATATTTTTAATGGTTAAAAACAAAATACAGATTAACACTCTGATCTTACTAACTTTCCTGGCTTAATGCAGACTTGCTCAAACTACTAACTTTACTTCCTTACACAGATAATATTCAACTGATTTATACCAAGATTAAACACAATTTCACAATTAAAAAACAATGTTTGAGTCTACCTGTTTTTTTCCCCTTTCTTCCTTTTCACAGCACAGATTTTCACAAATTTCTAGTGATTGTGGCAATAATAAATCATTTTTCCATTTAATAGAGCAATATTGAAACATAAATAAATTTTCAAGAAATGTGAAAGCTAGAATTTCCTGGGAAAACTTTTCAGGGATTTTCTTTTGGTGTGATTTCTGTTTTAATTTGCATTTTGTCTTAATATTTTCATAATTCATAGCATTATAAAAGATCTTCACTGGCATAATTTTATGGAACTTCTCTGGAAAATAAAATGGAGCAAAATATATTTCAGGAGCAAGCCTCTCAACTCCCCTGTATCTTTCTTATTTATTAATCATAATGACTCTACACATTTTTAGGCTATGAAACTTACTTAGTTCTTTCCCTTTGCCACTCTTTCCTGATCCCCCAGAAAGTGCACTAGAGACTTGTGCAAAAAGGAAGTCACTATCATTTTAGAAGATACATCTATTGTGTATATATCTTCATATGTATTACTTTTTCCAAACATGGAAACGTAAGGCAGCAGAGCTGGGGTTTTCTTTTTCAAATATCTCTTGTTATCTTAGCTCTTTAGCTCTTTTCCATTTCACTCTTCAACAGACAAACTTGTTCAAAACTCTTCATCCTTCTTTTATGAAATTGTGTAAATCTGTTGATAGAATCTGTTTTATGATTCAGACAACACCTGTGTTGGGTTTGTGACTATAGCTTTTAGGGAAGTGTCATAACCCATTTGATTATTGAGTTTTTTTCCTTGATATGAGGCCCTCTTGGCTTTTCTGCTTTAGTCACTTTCTTGTAAACCCCACTGGTCAGTTTTCTATTTGATTCCCACATTTAAACTGGTCTTCTACTACTAAGTGATAGATCCATTAGCACATGTTTGTCAGCCTCCAGTCAGATAAGCCACTCATATTTACAAAACAGAAGCAATTAGCAACTCCAAAACTCAAATCAGGATTTAAGTTCAGACATTTATAGGATTGATGCATAAATGAAACAGTTGTGGAAAGATATCTCTAGGAAGAGAAAGGTTAAAATACCACCCCTTTTGCCACAGCAAACACCTGGAGGGGCCTCACGGAGGGTCTTGGGGAAGCTCTGGGAGCTTTGCTTTACATTTTTGGGGGACAAGAATGAGGGAAGCTGTGGTACACAGCATAGCAGTGGAGTTCTGCATCGACGCTGGGACAGTGTAGTAACTAGTAGGAACTTTAAACTGTGCTTTTTTAGATAAATAGTTGATAAAGAGTAACTCTTAAATGTTATTTTTAATGGTTAAAAAAAAAAAAGTAACAAAATAAAACGCTCACAACCAAACCAAACTCCCAAAATACTCTCGAGGACACAAACTATCAGTATTTGAAGTATTCCTGAAATACAATGTATGCAAGTGGTCAAAAAAAAACCAAAAACACCAATGTATTTTGAATTACCTCCAGTGTGGTTTTAGCACCATTCATTCAGGGCCATCCAGCCACATGAATTGTATAGGGATAAATTAAGAGCTTTCTATTTGGGCTAATTCTAAAGGTCCCAGAAGATACAGATATGTGAAAATGTCTACCAGCTGCATATGCACATATAACAATTGCTCTGCAGTCCCCATAGCACGGAGTCAGTATTGAGTGCTTCACATTAAACTGGCTGTTCGCTTTATTTCTGTGTAGACAGCACTTGTGCTGCCACAAGAACTCACTCACACTCTGCACCCACCTGCTAAACAACCAGTGAAGAAGAAGCAAGAACTGGCCTGGCAACTGGTACAGTTTTCAGGCACTGGGTGGGGTGACACGCTTGGTCTGGTGAGAATTCTATGTTATATTGGCCTAAACTGAGATTATCAAAGTAGCCTGAGAGTGCTAAACATAGGGAACCCCTGCATTTTCTTTAGTGTCTGTAGAATTACTTCTCTTAGACTTTTAAAATAATCTCTCCTGAAAGCACACTAGTCCATATCCATGTAAATGAGCATTTTTTCCAGGACATGTTCCTTTCCCTAAAAACAAAACAACAACAATAAATCTGTCAGGTGACCCTACATAGGAGAACTGATGGGAAAATCAAAACTGGTACAACTAAGGAAAATAAAATTAATTTTCAAAAATCAGCACCATGCCACTACACTTCATTTAGGAGGAGGAGAAAAAACAAAACAACCAAACAAAACCAACCAACCCACAAACAAGCAAAAAAAAACCTTCTTAATGTTTTATTTCATTATATAACCACACTGAATTGTATCTAGCATTGTTATTTGCTTAGAATTCCTTTAATCTCAGTGTGACTGTGATTTTTGACAATGAGCTGGTTGGCTGCAGCAAAGCACGCTGAAATTTTCAAATGCTACTTACCATTGCAGTGGGGATCTTACCTGCTTTTCATGGACTATCAGTAGTCTAAACTAATTCTGAAAATGTCCAGAGATCATCTCATTGAATTGGTACCTGAAACATACAGAAAGTTTTTAATTTGATTTTTGGCTTTTTCTGAAAGTCTGTGTCTCAGAAACCATCCTTCTTCCCTATTCCATAGTGGTTCTTACACCAGCTTTAAGCTCTGTGTCTGTGTGTATATTACAACATTGGCACATTGTGCTAAAATCCATGGGAGCATACTGAACATTTATTGAAAAATCATCTTATGTGCCCTCTGGAACAATTTCTTCCTTATTAATGGCCTCACAGACTAGAGTTTTTCAGGCCAGCATTTTGCATAGCTTTACTGATTCATCCTGATGGCTCAGTGGTGTGCTTGGGATAATGCACAAAAACCACAGATACAGAGAGAAAGGGGTGCTCATAACTACCTGGAATATTTGTAATATAGGGCAGGCATGCAACAAAAGGTTGGAAGGTTTTCAGAAGGTTATAGTGGTGGGTCAGGATACAGGTTAAAGAGAGCAGTGAAAAGGATACAGAGGAGATTTGAGCAGCTTTTTGGATATCTTGACTACATTTAATCTCCACACATGCATCAGAACAGATGACACAACAGAGCATAGTACAAGTCTTTGCTGATGCACGAAGGTGGAGTGATCAAGCCCAGTAACATATTTTCTTCCCCAGTCCTGTGCTGGCAACTTGTCGCAGTGCTCGAGGGTAAAACAGTCTGCAACACAGGAAACCACATCTGGAACGAAGCCCTTCACTACTGCTGCGGGGAACCTGGGTAACAGATAGTTCTATCTGTATGATTAACTATTAACTGACGTTAAGAAAAAGAAGAAGAAAAAAACATCTAAACACCGATGTGCTGAGGCAAAGCTCAGTGCAAAAACTTGAAAGGAAGGGAAGGTGGTGGATGCAGTCGTGCATCTTAACATACACACTCAAAAGACCAAGTTTGCAAAAGGACAGGCCAGGATTGCTTGCAAGGACAGACAGGACAAGGAATGTGTGCTACGGGCCCTCAGCAGGTCTCCAGGGAGGAGGAGGTGTCAGCTATAATGTGCTCTTCTTTGAACAGCCTCTCGTCCGTTTTAGGACCTAAAAGAAAATCTATCCTTCTGTGTCTCCAAACTCTAACACTTCTGTGACCATTAGAATTTACCTACCAAGTGCTGTCTCCATTTCTGAATGCCTTATTGGTTCAGGACTGATCATTATCTTCCTCTCATCTTCCCTCAATTGCTTTAGTTTATAATGTTCCTTGTTTTATGCTGTGATTTGTTTTCACACCTGGGTGTCCCAGAAAAGCTGCAGGTAGATACTTCATGATCCTGATTACCTGCTGTTTAGGTGCAATTGACACTCTCCATACTTAAAACTATTCTTCTGCTCTTCTTTCCAGTGCTTGCATATACTACTTATTTCCAGATTTCCGTGAGTCTGTGGAGGGTTCCCCCCTGACATTTCCAGACAAATGTGAATCTTTTCACAGCTCACTGTTTCAGTTATTAACGTTGTATGAGTAACTCAGAATGGTAAAGGCCATCGGTCTTTTCTGAGGCAAGTTAAGACTTCAGAATTTGCCAGTTGCAGAATAGCAAAGTGTTCACCAAAAGTTAGGAAGGTGTCCCTTGTACCGGTGCCGCACACTGCAGCTCTGTTCTGTCACCTGGGACACTCCTACAGTGGGAAGTGAGTTTTCACACAGAATGCAACCTGGATGCTTTGGCGTTTCCCCACAGTGCTGTCCTACAAGCAAGAGCCGTTCATGGATGAAGGAGATTAAGGAGACTAGAAATATCTCCTGAACTTCCACGTTACAAAGAATTTGATGTGCTGGCAAGCAGTATGTTCTACAAATCTTTGTGGTCTACACACTGTATATTTTCCTAACTTTTAAAAAGGTGTGGAAATGCCTGTTGGATCCAGTTTTAGAACTTCTAGGGGAACACATCTTCTACAATCTACAGAACACTATAACTCCATCATTTTATAGTTAGAAGATTTTGACTCCTTAAGCCAAGATATCAAATTGAGCTTACAGTTTTCAACTATCAGCTGTTTTTATAAAATTTGGTTTTGGTTAGCATTGATTTAGATATTATATTCCTTGAGGAGGTTGCCTTTTTGTTGTTAACCATTTGTACTTCAGTTACACCTTGCTGAGAATAGAGATTCCCTTTTCACTATTGCTTCATAGTAGCTGACAAACAGAACTTCCAAAAGCTCACCTACATACAATACAAGAACTTAGCAAATGTTCACACTTTTGTGACAGCAATTTTTCTACATGTACAATCTGAAAGATGCTTATTATATCCAGCTGAAGATACAACATGACCTGAACGTGGGAGAGAAGAAAGGATGCAGCAAGACAGGACTGCCCAAGCCAATGGGAAACCTGATCAGACTTCAGTTTGTGGTTACTGGAGACTGTAACCAACAGGTGATTCACTTGTGAGGCAGCCCTGGAAGAGAGATTTGCAAGAGAAAAGGATGCTTAGGATTTATCTTTACATAGTTGCTTGCATGAAAACCACCTTTACATATTACCTTTACAAAGTTTTTACATTGCAATAGTCTATTCAAATGAAAACCTCACTTCTTTTCATATGAATAGGTTGGTTTAGAGCTTTTCAGAAGCTTAAAAATGTCAAGAAGGCCCGAATCAAATATTTTTGTTCTAGAAAAATGCTTTCATCAGGCTTTCTTTTACATATTTCTGATGAAAGTATTTCACCAGGACCTCAGTGGTTATGCACTGTCTTATCCATCAGACAGATAAGGAGTAAATTCTTCCAAGGACTGACTTGAACCAGATCATACCATGAGTGATCTGGCACTGTGTTGGAGAATGGCAAAATAGCCAGGAAAAGTCTTAACCAAATATCTCACTGGGCATCTAAGATCACCCACAAAAGCACCTTACGCCCTGACCAACAGCCACACAGGCCAAAGCACCAGCAGCTTCAAGCCAGTCCTCAGCTACTCACCAAACTGGTCATACACAGAGCCAGGTCCTACCCGGCAGCATTCATCAGTTCAGCCTCTCCTGCAAAAAGCACAGAAACGCTGCTGGACCTTGCTGGTACCAGAGGACTCTCCACTTTTACTCTTGATTTGAGTTAGGAAATCTTGTGCCGTTACCCATCTGTGTCTTAGACTAAAGAAGCGCCACATCAAATAAGCTATCTATGGCAAATTCAGTTTTAGTTCCGATTTTTGTTGTGTTTTGAGGTTTTTGTTTTAGCAAATACCTCCCAAAATTTATTCTGTACCAGACTTAAGTGACACCCAGATTTTCTCTGAATTTTATAGCAAGTGCAAGATGTCTTTAAATTCCTTAAGTAATTTATCTTTGCTCAAAAAACCCAAACAAACCAAACATAGTTAAATACTCTTGATATCAATTCTTATGCATGCCTTATGAAAGGATTTTTTTCCCAACCTGCATCTGTTTTGACATTTTTGTTGCTGCTCTTTTTTTAAGTGATTCAACACCATGTGCAAACTGATAGGATTCCAGAAAGGATTTATCACTTGTGTAAGGAGGGAAGAGCAAAGCCTACTGTTAAAGCTACAACCAGTCTGCCACTGTTCTCCATAGCACTGCTGCAACCATCTGCACCTCTTCCAGACTTAAAAATCCACACAATAAGTTATTCTTCATTGCTACCCTGGTCCACTAGAACAAGCTATAATAGCTTATTATTAACATCCTTTCATAACGTATTACACCCCAAAACTACTTTTGACTCAGGCATTATAATTTAGCTCACCCCTCCTGCAAAAAAAAAACTGGCATGTCTCTTTCCCTCTCAGCTGATGGAGTGTTAGTGGTTTTTTGTGATTCAAGCATACAACTCTCAGAATGAGTCTGAGCAATACTATATTTATTAAAACAGTCCAAGGTCTTCAATAGACTAGAAGAAAAATGATAGAAATTAAGACAAATAAAACCCATTTCCCTTTCTCACTCCTCAAAAATAATGTATTTCTTGAACATGCAAAAAAAAAAAAAGCGTCATTCTGCTGAAATTTTTTCTGACCCTAGGCTTATATAAGTTATAAAATATCCATTATATAAGATATTTAAACTAGCTATTTTACTTGATTTAATGAAAACATATGTAAGAAGGTTTAGATAAATAGATCTCTCACTATCACAGACAGGAAGGGGAAATGACTTTGCTTTCACTAAGATGCATTTCTGCAATCACACTAGTTATCATTTACTAAAAAAAAACCAATCTGTTCTGAAAAAACACAAATCGTGTGTCAATGAACAAATAAGGCGGGATGGGGGGGAATAAATCACATAAACTATCTTAATTAATGAAGTACCATTCCCGATACCTTCCCTCTTCCTTTCACCCCTCCGAGGTTAAGTAACAGAAAATGGCTGAAAGTGAGAAAAACAAGGGAAAGAAAATGGTGTATGGAGGCACTCGATTGGTCAGATTTTGCTGCAGAGTCCCAAGTTCCTGACACAGAGAAAAGAAGATTTCCCAAGATGAAGGGTATCAGCAGTTAACAGAAAATCAAGTCTTGCAGTTTTAGGCTTTCCAAAAGAAACATTCCCTTCTAAGCAATTCCCGTAGGTCGATGTTTCCGAGTTTAAATAAAAGCCGTATTCAGCTTAATCCAGCCTCTTCTTAAAGGCACAGCTGCTCGTTTGTAGCATTGAAAAACCAGACATTATTTCCAACACTTCAAGGGTAAAGCAGGCTCCCCAAATTACATGAAAGGGCCTGCAGTGTATATTTTAAAAAAAGTTAAAGGCGATCGAAAGTGATTTATAGCTTTGGAAATCTACGGTTTTTTTCAGGCAACAATTACAGCTCTATTGAGTAGGAGAGCAAGGGATTGTGCAGCTGAACTTAATGAGAACCTCCCTTTTCCAGGTATTTTCACAAATTAAAAAAAAAAATAATCACATAACACGACAGATGGGGAAGAGTCTCCGTTTAACAGGAATTCTGATCTCAGTGTCAAGGTTTTAATCGCTAATCTCCTTGGAAATGACCCTTGTCACCACCAGAAGCCAAGCTCTCTCTAAAAATACTATCTAGAATACTAAAAATAACCTATCATTTATCTCAGCAAGGAAAGAGAAGTACTTGAGAAGGGCTGAAGATGCCCGGGGGACGTCTCTCACGACAGGGACAATCAGCCCACAAGTGCTATGAGCACTGAGAAAACTACCGACCAGGCACCTTCCCTGGGAGGGCGGGAAAGGACTTCTTGCTCCTTCAGAAAAAAAAAAAAAAAAAAGAAAAAAAAAAAAAAAAAAAAAAAAAGAGGGGGAGGGGAAGTGTATGTTTGGAAAATAGTGTTTCTGTCGGGACGCTAAATGTTGATGTTAACAGAAAAGAATTAAGTAAATGCAGTATATTAAGAGGCATTTACCTCAGGATACATCTTCTCTAATCGAAAGTGAAGTAGTGCGAGGATACAGTCACCTTTACTAATTAAATGAGCTTGTAGGAATGATTCTAAGATACAAACAAGTAGTAAAAAATATAAGCCTGATAAAGCTGGGTACCTTATACTTCAGACCAAAAAAAAGCCACACACTACCACTTTTAATAACAGATAAAGTGGTCTGAGAGAAAGCATAAAAAGCTATTTTTACCCCAAGATTTCCCCTAGCACGGTCTTTTTAACAATTACACACACCGTACTGTTCCACTGCAGACAGAAGCCTTTCGGACCACTTTGAGACGTCAGTTACACTTTTTCTTTAGTACTTACTTGATGAGATACGGGGGTTCTTGGTCGCTGTAAGACTACCGGAAAAGGATGTGGGATTATACTACTTCCTACAGAGAATTAGGAGTTTACAGCTCTCTTAAGTGGCCAAGTGGTGGCTCTTAAAAGAGCCTTTGGGTTTTCGCAAGTCTTGAGAGATCCCTTCGGCCAGAAGCTTAAGCGCGCTCGCCGCGGATGCGTCGGGCCAGCTGGATGTCCTTGGGCATGATGGTGACGCGCTTGGCGTGGATGGCGCAGAGGTTGGTGTCCTCGAAGAGCCCCACCAGGTAGGCCTCGCTGGCCTCCTGCAGCGCCATGACGGCCGAGCTCTGGAAGCGCAGGTCGGTCTTGAAGTCCTGCGCGATCTCGCGCACCAGGCGCTGGAAGGGCAGTTTGCGGATCAGCAGCTCCGTCGACTTCTGGTAGCGCCGGATCTCGCGCAGCGCCACCGTGCCGGGCCGGTAGCGGTGCGGCTTCTTCACGCCGCCCGTGGCCGGCGCGCTCTTGCGGGCCGCCTTGGTGGCCAGCTGCTTGCGGGGCGCCTTCCCGCCCGTCGACTTACGCGCCGTCTGCTTCGTGCGCGCCATCTTCCCCTGTAAAGGCCACTGGGCAGCGAGTGAGAGAGACGAGAGTCTGCGGAGAGAGCGGTGGCGGGGCCCGCTATTTATAGCCCGCACCGCCCTGTGATTGGCTGGCGGGACGGCGCACATCCCATTGGGCCGTGGGAGGGATTTGAAAAGCCCGCGGTGCCGCGCGGGGCCGGGGCGGGGGGAGGGTAATGGCCGCTTCCCGCTCCGCAGTCCCCGCCAGCGCTGGAGGCGGAGGTTTCGCTTCCCTCATCGCTCCGCTCTGCCCCGGCGGCGGCAGCACCGCGCTCTGCCGCACCCGTAACCGGTCAGCCGTCGCGGGGTTTGTTCTCTGGCCCCGCAACGGACGCTTTTATCGCCGCTTCCGTCCCCGGCAGCCGGGATTTCAGCCCCCTCGCAGAAGGCTTTTTTTCGGAAAAAAAAAAAACAGCCATTCCTGCGCTACCTCAAGTTCGAAAAAGCCCTCTTTTTTTCTTTTTTTTTTTATTTATTTTAAGCCCCATCTTTTTTTTTTTTTACTTGTCTTTTAATATTACGCAGTCACTTAAAGGAACCTCTTTATTCTGCCATGCGTATTCTCCATCAATGAGCGCCAAAAAAAAAAATCCTACGCCACTTCCATCTGAGATCTCTGGGACTAATGAAATTTTTCTTTTTTCTATATTTCATTTCTGCTGTGTATTCGGTGATAAATTCCACGAAACATCGTCTTCCAAATACGAAAGACAAACTAATCCCTATGGAGCTCTCCAAGTAAACAAGCAGCTCTGGCGTGGGGCCAAGTCGTGTGAGAATGACAGCTACCGAAAAAAAAAAAAACAGCCATTCCTGCGCTACCTCAAGTTCGAAAAAGCCCTCTTTTTTACTTTTTTTTTATTTATTTTAAGCACCATCTTTTTTTTTTTTTACTTGTCTTTTAATATTACGCAGTCACTTAAAGGAACCTCTTTATTCTGCCATGCGTATTCTCCATCAATGAGCGCCAAAAAAAAAAATCCTACGCCACTTCCATCTGAGATCTCTGGGACTAATGAAATTTTACTTTTTTCTATATTTCATTTCTGCTGTGTATTCGGTGATAAATTCCACGAAACATCGTCTTCCAAATACGAAAGACAAACTAATCCCTATGGAGCTCTCCAAGTAAACAAGCAGCTCTGGCGTGGGGCCAAGTCGTGTGAGAATGACAGCTACCGTTTAAAAGGAACGATGAGATTTTATCAGAAAATGTATAAACTGCATTGTTTAGAAAGCTGCTATTGTAAAAAAACAACGCTACTTTATTTCATAACAGAACAGCGGACTGGGGCGGGGGGGAGGGGAGCGGTGCGGGGGAATCATAATATCCTAAACAATACCGTGGATATTTCTCTGTAGTTTAAACATTAGAGCTTAAAAGCTTTAAAAGTTGATTAGGTGCTTAATACTTTTTAATAGACCTACCCGCTTAACAGTTGGGGTAGAGCACATAGCGTTAAAATCACCCCTGTTACTTTAACAAGGCATTTTCCCTACTAATTAATAGCACATCCTAGCCTAGGAGCTAAAACAGTGCTGAATACAAGTACCACTCACCGAAGCGAATCAGTGTGAACCACTCTTTTACTGAAAAAGTGTGTGGCTCTTAAAAGAGCCTTTGGGTTGGTGGGTTAAAACCGGCGCTGGAGCCGCTCTACTTGGAGCTGGTGTACTTGGTGACGGCCTTGGTGCCCTCGGAGACGGCGTGCTTGGCCAGCTCGCCGGGCAGCAGGAGCCGCACGGCCGTCTGGATCTCCCGCGAGGTGATGGTGGAGCGCTTGTTGTAGTGCGCCAGGCGCGAGGCCTCGCCGGCGATGCGCTCGAAGATGTCGTTGACGAAGGAGTTCATGATGCCCATGGCCTTGGACGAGATGCCCGTGTCGGGGTGCACCTGCTTCAGCACCTTGTACACGTAGATGGAGTAGCTCTCCTTCCTAGTCTTTCTACGTTTCTTGTCACCTTTCTTCTGGGTCTTGGTGACCGCCTTCTTGGAGCCTTTCTTGGGCGCAGGAGCTGATTTGGCTGGTTCCGGCATTTTACAAGTCCGTCACTACTTGTCTACCGCAGGAACGTCGCAAATACAATAGCGGCGACACCCGTATTTATAGAGGTGGTATGCAAATGAGATGACTCAAGGCCGTACTTTTCCATTGGACAACATAGCATAGTGACGTCAAGCCGCCTAGCGCCTCCGATTCGTCGCCATTGCATCTGCCTTCCCATTGGTCAACTCCGCAATCGCGGCCTGCGCCAATCACGGCTCCCGCCGAGCCCCCGAAGGAAGGGATAAAAGGGCAGGGTGGCGGCTGCGGCTGCACCGCCCTTGTTTTTACGGCTCGTTTTGCGTCTGTGGCGCATCTTTTTATTTCATTTATATATATTTTTTTCACTCTTAGCGCTGTGAGATGTCCGGCCGCGGGAAGCAGGGCGGGAAGGCGCGGGCCAAGGCCAAGTCGCGCTCGTCGCGGGCCGGGCTGCAGTTCCCCGTGGGCCGCGTGCACCGGCTGCTGCGCAAGGGCAACTACGCGGAGCGGGTGGGCGCCGGCGCCCCGGTGTACCTGGCGGCCGTGCTGGAGTACCTGACGGCCGAGATCCTGGAGCTGGCGGGCAACGCGGCCCGCGACAACAAGAAGACGCGCATCATCCCCCGCCACCTGCAGCTGGCCATCCGCAACGACGAGGAGCTCAACAAGCTGCTGGGCAAGGTGACGATCGCGCAGGGCGGGGTGCTGCCCAACATCCAGGCCGTGCTGCTGCCCAAGAAGACCGACAGCCACAAGGCCAAAGCCAAGTAAAAACTCTTTTTTCCAGCCGACAATACAAAGGCTCTTTTCAGAGCCACACATCCTCCCAGAAAGAGCAGGGACACTCTTAAGTACTTGTTTCTCCCGTGTGTTTTGATAAGTCCTGCAACTTTGGGTATTGAGGGGAAATTTCTGATTCATAAACATTATTTCTGTTTCTTAAGTTTTGTTTTTGCTGGTTGATGTAAGTCTTTGCATTTTCTCGGTTTCACTTATTTTAAAAAATTCTAGGAAAAGCTGTGCCATGGGACTGATGGCAGCAGCGCCTTTAGCGCGGGGGAAGGAGCGGAGAACACGGCAAGGTGCGGGGAGGGCAGGCTGCCCCCCGCTCGGTGGCTGCAGGGGAGGCAGGGTGAAGCCCCGCGGCGGTGGGCCCGGGGGGTGCGGGGGTTTGGGCGCCCACCCGGGGCGTGGGGCGGGGCCCGTGCGGGGGGAGCGCGCGGTTTTCAAACGCGGGGTGTGGGGGGGGAACGGCTGCTGCTCCGCTTTCGCGGGTGAAAACAGGGAGTCTCCGCGCTTCGTGCCTAGCAGTTGCTCTTTTTTTGGCTTGTTTGTAACTTACAGTTTCCAGGCAATAGCGATAGAGTTATAAACATTCCCTATAACCCAGCCTGGGCTGTTTCCCAAGGGCAGCGCCAGCGGTTCTGGGTATGTGGTGGGGGTGGCAGTGGAAATCGCTAAGGAGGATTACAGTTTAAAACAAAATAGGCTAAAGTGTACTTTTAGGTACCGTGCAAGCTCCTACAGAAGTGGTACTGGCAATCAAACACAGGTGCTGCAGGGGGTTATCCTGTGCCGGTCTGGACTGGAGCTGATGATTCAGTTCTTTCTTTTTCACTCTGATAACGCGCCTGGCGCTCAAAACCGCTCGAGGCTTTATCCGCAGAAGTTTCCTTTCCTTTTACAGTATGGGCTCCTGGCTGCTGCCGCCTTCGCCCTTCGGTGCTGCCTTTTTGGGGCTTTTGGCTGCCGGCGGCTTCTTAGGGCTCTTCGCCGCTGCCTTGGCCTTTTTGGGCGCGGGAGCTCCTTGGGCTCCGTGGGGGCGGTCACGGCCGCCGTGATCTGCTCGGTAACACTGGGGGCCGCGGGCTTTAGACGTTGTCAGAGGCAGTTTTCAAGGAGGAAGGGGGGTGTCAGGGGGGTGTAAATCAAGACACTCAGCGAGAGTATTTGTAGGGAGGCGCCTCTCCGCAGTTGATGCCCCGGGGAGTCCGTCCCGCTGGAAGGCAGCGAAAGCTCCTCTCTGCTCTCTGTTTCCCCGGAACAGACGAGATAGTTTTTTATTTTTTCTTCCGCTGTAAGGGACACAGCATTCCTTCCGTTAAGTACATAGGGGTAAAACAGGTTTTCATTTCTTTGTCATATTTTATGCAGAAGAAAATAGAACTGCTCGAAGGGGGAGCCGGGAGCGCACGGCGGGAGCCTCCGAATGAGGCTGCCTGAGGGCAGGGGCGGGGGGATGGAGTTTTATTTGTTCTTTAAAAGCAGCCCTTCGGAAATAAGTCGAGGAAAACTGCTGGTTTTGCAGCGTCCTCCCTCAGGAGGCAGAGGAGTGAGTCAATGTGCTCATTGAAACTCTTCCAAGCAGAGGGAGGTAACACGGGAGTTCCCGGCTGAAGTGTTGCTTGGAAACAAAATGAGAATTACGGGACTTGTTTTAAAGGGTACTTGCTGCTTACACAATTTTCAAGTCGGTGGGAGAGTTTGGTTGCTTGGTTGGTTTGTTGGTTGTTTTTTTTTCTTCTCTGCAATAGGCAGAATACTTTTTCTCTCCTTTTTATCAGCCCTGTCTTGTTGAAAGAAATTGCATTACATATTAATCATCTACTATTCAGAGATGTATTTTGAAACCATAACTGCAGAATATCTTTGGAGCCGTGTTGAAACTTGAGACTCGAGTTTAAAACACTTGAAGATTATTTTTTTTTTGTTTAATAATCTCAGTTTCTTTTACCGAGTACATTAAGTGAAACAACTTTCTATTGGTGGATATTTAGTATGGAGGGAAGAGATTGCGTGGGTCTGAAGCAGAGCATTGATTTGCAGAAGGTCCTGATTGGGCCATTTGAAAATCCAGTGTTTTGAAACAGAAGCCTCCTGAGTTTCATTTTTGCCCTGGGTAACACGCTGTGGGGAGGGAGCATTTCTCTCTTCAAGAAGAATGCTCACACTGAATGCCTGAGAAAGGAGTATCTCAGTTCTGCTTCTCCTGGAAATTAAGGAAGAAGGGTGTTTTCACCCACTGATTTTTGAAAAAAATCACTTGAAAACACAAGTATTCTATCAATTTTTTTCCAAATGAGATATGAGTAGATTGAGATCTGTTCTAAAGCGGGTTATATTCAGTAATGGTAATTTAATAAATTTACCATTTTGTTCTCTGCCTTTCTAGCCATGTTTCTCCCTTGAGATGGTATTGCGTGAGCTGACACAGGCAAGATGCAGGAACAACCACAAAACCATGGATAAAAGGCAAAGAACTAGTTTAATCTCAATACCTTGCAGAAAGGGGATTCTCCAAATTAGCGCCCGGGCAGAGGCATGCAGCAGGGGTGCAGGCACCGTGGAGTGAGAGAAGAGTTTGTATTAGTGAGAGACTCCTTGTTAGGAAAGGAGTGAGAGAGCAAGAGCTCAGACTTGCTGCTCTTGCCTGTATTTCAAGGATTCAGACGGGAATTGTTTTTCACTGTGCTTTGACCTTCTTCCACAGCAGGGCAGGAAGCTCAGGCAAGTTTGATAAGGTGCCCCTGAGACCATCACAGGCCTACTTTATCTAAGTGCAGATGTCCTACTTGCCAAGCACATAAGACTAAACAACAATTAGTAAGATATACGTGTTTTTCAGCACCCCATGTGCAAGTTACTTGAGTGTGTTTACAGACCTTCTCACTGATCTTCAGTTACTTTCGCACCGGTGCACAGAAAGAGCTTGGTTTCCTTTCGTAGCAGTTTGACTAATGTTCTGTTTGCCCTCTGCAGTATTGTCACAATGGTTTTTTATCATGTTTTTATTAGTACAAGCACATTGTTCTGTATTACACATCTGCATTATAAATCTTCTATTTCTTCAGCTAAAATATGACTGGAATATTTTCATACAGTTACTGCATATAGTTTGTATTCCTTGTGTCTCCTGACTAGCCGTCCCCTTCTAATGTAGAATGGCTACATTCTTCTCCTCCATGTCCTTATGTTACAAAGGAACACATCTTGTCTATATACCATAGTTAAATAAGTCATTTATATATTAAATAGAAAAGTGGAATATAACGCCTATTAAATTACGTGTCAGGTAAATTATGTTAAAAAAACCCCAAAGGGTTGATTTTTTAAGAACAAGTATTTTATTTCAGTTCAAATGCTGAATTTCTAATTAATCTGTACCGTTCTCCCAAATTCCTTCCAACTAGCCTAAATCCTTGAACAGATTTCTACATAAAGAAGGAAGGTTTTAGATTTAAGGACAGTGTATCACAAATGCTGATGGTCATGAAAAAATAGTGTCATAGATGGCCTAAACCACTTTTCACCTTTAAGTTCACACTTATGCTTTAAAGTACTAGCTATGGCATAGGTGGTACAATCTCTCAGTCTGGCTTTAAAGAGTGTTATTAATCCTGTAGTTACTTTATAGTTCTCTGCTTTTCCATAAAGGACTAGAAGATAATATTCAAGGTAATATATTAAAAAACCAAACCAACAAAAAAAACCCAATAAACAATCCAAACAAAGAAAAAAAAGAAAATGCCCCACTCAATAAAACCAATGCTCACCTGCAGAAAAATTCTCAAGACAGACAACTTAAAGTGATAATAGAACACTGACACTTTGATTAACTTCTTCATAGCAGCAATAGTGTATGGGAAAAGTCCTTAAATGTTCTTTTCCTTCAAAAAGTCTTACTCATGTTTTTCTTGAAAAAGCCTATGCTGTTTGTTCTGTAACAACCTGACTGTGGACAGCAAAAAGACTGTCCAAATTCCCTTGATACTAAGCAGTCTTCTGCAGAGGAAAGTGTGATTTTTTTTTTTTTTAATTTCCCCCTCTACTCCCCATTTTTCAGGAGAAGAGGTTGCTTTAAGCTACTGTATTTACAAAAATGTAGGCAAGTTAGAGTATTTACCTACAGAAGTGAAAGGAATTATTTGCCTACTATTGAGCATATATCCATAGATCGAATAATTGTGGGCTGTTCTCTGTAAAACTGTTTTGAGCATTTATGTGAGACAGTCTACACAAAGGTTGAAGACTTACAGGGCTATAAATAAATTATTCTCAATCCCCTTCCCCCAAATACTTAGTTCCTTTGGTACCTTTCTATGATTATACATAGCAAACCAAAGTACACAAAGTAGGAATAACTTACAAATCTAGTGTAGTATATAGAAATGTTTTGAATAGTATCATCAGTAGTTTACTTCATATATTCCCTTGAAAACAAGCCTGCTTAGATACCAAATGAAGTCTTTAAAAAGTTATCGGCATTGTTTGTTTTTCTCAGGTATATAGTATAGGATTGATTTAGACATTGTTAAACATGAAATAAACTCCCATCTCCATACACATAATTATGGGGGTGCTAATGCTGATATTTGGGAAATTGAATGACAGGAGTGAAGTCTGAAAGGTGATTGCGCTGTATCTGTAGAAACGCAGCAAACCCTTTCATTTGCAGATGACACTACGTGCTCTGAGTGTATCTAATATTGACAGAGGAGAAGATTGTCATAAACTGTAGCTGACTCTGTGTGTGTCCTTCTCTTTGCACCTCCTGAGAGGCTCCCTAATGTTGCTGTCGCACCGCTGAGTAAGGGGGCAATGGGTGGGTTTGGGGGATCTCCCCAATCCATGGGTCCAGGCTAGGCCGCAGCTGGGGGCGGCCCCGGTGCCGCTGCAGCAATTTCTGACCAATCTCACCGGGAAGGAGCCTCCCTCCTTTCTTTTCCTCCTCTTCCTCCTCCTCGCCTTCCCTCTCCATGCCGTTAGCCCGCTGGCGAGCAGGGTGGCTCAGCTGGATGCCACCGCAGGGTGCGGGGAGCACCGTGCCCTGCCCGTGCATCAGACCCCCCCGCCTTTTGAACACCCCCGGCGCTTCTCATACCGGCTGCTGGATTTATCTTCACTCTGGTTTATTTACTCTGTGGCTGCTGCAGCCGGGGCTCCAGCTCGCTCTGTTAGAAAATGTTATTTTGATTCTGCAAACTTCGCTGCTGCGAGAGCAACAGAGCATCCCGCTTGGTGAAATTCTTTCTATAAGGAGCCCGTGATCATTAGATCATTTCCCCCCTTTTTCATTTCTGTCCTAGAAAACACGATGCAAGACAGCATCCCTCCTCACTAACTAGGCTGATACAAACTTTTCTGCTCTGCAGATGGCAATACTATCTATCACCTCCGTATGAATTCGATTATTTCAAGTCTCTATGCTCTGCATCTGAATGATATGGCTCTCAAGATGCGTGGAGGGATTTAAAATAGAAACCAAGTCCTTCCCTCTTCCTACAGAGTCTGCAGCTTTTTCATGTCGTGGAACTTCCTCTAGTGCCTCCCTAAGTAGTTTGTGAGACAATCATGAAAATATTTACACAAACCAGGACACTAAGTAACTTGGAATCCCCTTTAAAAAAAAAAGCTAAGTGAATAGGAGCTTTGGGTGGGTGGGTGTGTTTGGTTTTGGAGATTAATTGTTGACCTTATGAGAAAAACAAGACTGATTCTCAGTGTGTAAGCTGATATAGGCAGGACGCAGGAACAACCACAAAACCACGGATGAAAGACAAAAAACAAATTTAATCTTGACACCTCGCAGATCGGGGAATCTCCAAAGCAGCACCCAGGCAGAGGCATGCAAACAGGGAACCAGGCACCGTGGAGCAAGAGAGAGCCTTTATTAGCGAGAGACTCCTTGTTAGCAAGGGAGAGAGCAAGAGCTCAGACTTGCTGCTCTTGCCTGTTATTTCAAGGATTCAGACAGGAATTGTTTTTCACTGTGCTTTGACCTTTTACCACAGTAGGGCAGGAAGCTCAGGCAAGTTTGATAAGGTGCCCCTGAGACCATCACAGGCCTACTTTATCTAAGTGCAGATGTCCTACTTGCCAAGCACATAAGACTAAACAACAATTAGTATGATATATGTGCTTTTCAGCACCCCACGTGCAAGTTACTTGAGTGTGTTTACAGACCTTCTCACTGATCTTCGGTTTCTTTCCCACACTCAACAAGTGCGTGTGACTGAATGACAGTTGATACCACAGGGATCAGTGCAGAAGACTTTATGAAAGGAGAAATATTTGACATCAGTTTCAGAAAATGCTTGCAGTTACGCGAGCAGCTGTGCTCTCCAGAATTCATTTCTATTGAGGAGAGAGATGGTTCCACCATCACCTTTTCACTGAATTTCACTGAATTTCACTGAATTTCTAGAGTTGGAAGGGACCATAGAGATCATCTAGTCCAACTCCCCTGCTGAAGCAGGATTGCCTAGAGCTAGAGCATGTTACTCAGGACTACATCCAGGCGGGTTTTGAAAATCTCCAAAGAAGGGGACTCCACAACCTCCCTGGGCAGCCTGTTCCAGGGTTCCGTCACCCTCTGCTCTTCTCTATCATTTTGAAAAAAAGCTATAGAGATAAGGAGTCTATTCACTTCAGGAAACCACCTGTGGTGATATTTAGGCAGCTGTTCTGGCCTCAGGAACCTTTTGCTGGTAACTAATTTTATAATTAGATTAGACCTCACTAAATTTGGTAGACTTACCCACTGACCTTATAGATATCTAAAAAAGATAAGGACATCTTCACCCAGTAGTTGTCTCTGCTCTGAAAACATTCTAATATCCTAATATCCCAATATCCTTTAGTCATCTTTATCAGTTTTCTCAGAAATTTCTTTTCCAGCTACACTACATCTTCTTTTTTGATTTATGGGCCAGAAATGTGCACAGTAGTCAAAGTGTAACTATTTCACACAACGCTACAGAGATTCAATATCTTCTTTTATGTGCTCCATTTGTCTTCTGGTGATTTTTGACATTCAAATTATGTTCATTTTAATACTTCTGATCATTGAGAAAATATTTATTTGGTTATTTATTGTTTTCTGTTGTGGGAGTATTTTTTTTATTAGGATCAAGCTGGAGGTTTCAGTGAAGGTGGAAGATGGTGGTGAGACAGTTCTGAAGACTGAGTCAGGGATCAGGAGCAGGAGGACAGGCAGAGAAACTGAAAGCTATGGTCAAACAAAAGATAATAAATGAGAAGGATGAAGTTTATACTCATTTAATGACATCCAGAATGCCTAAAGCTTGGAGAGACCAAGAGGTGTATGCCATAAAGATCATGGCAAGAGCACTGTTACAGATCAGGCAAATGGAGATTTTGTTTATAATCAAAAGGATGGTTTGATTTGCCAGCATGCAGTACGATCCAGAAGTCCAAGTCTAAGTCTTTCTATAGGCGGTGAACTTCCCCATCAGTTGCTTGTCCTAGGCACTCCCTGTGTGTGTACAGACTGCTAAGTGCTGAAGGACCTTGTAGCCACATCAGAGCAGCTCTAATGCTTTTTTAGGTGGAAGGCATTTCAACAAAAGAATTCATACTGGATATTTGGATGTGTTTGCATGTGTGTATGCACATGTACACACTGGAAGCTTAAAAAGACATCATACAGAACAACAGCAGCATAGGGTAATCATTATCAGGATAATACCAATTATCTTGATTAATCAAGATTAATATTTAATTACTATATATTGAAAAACAGAGGGGGGGGACTAGATCATTACCTTGAAAAGGACTTTGTAACTTTTTCCAATGTGTTTTTTTTCTTTCAGCCCAAGCTATACTTTGTCCATCTCTGCAAGTCTGAGGATCATCAGCAAGGGTTACTGCATAAACACACCAATGGATGAAAAGGTAACACTTTTAAGCATCAGTAATTAATAAATACATATATTATTTTAATGAGGTTTATACAGTTCTGCCAGAGATGAACCCCACTGTTCCCAGGGTAGGAGCTGCCACAATCCATGCTGCATGAGGATTTCCAGCTGGAGGAAAGTGACTTTGAATGCACGAGTGATGGTCTTCAGCCCACAGTTTCAAGTAGAGCCCAGACAGACCCCTGGGGAACAGTCAGCCTGGGTGTCAGGTCCATCGGGTCAGTCCAGGTGAATGAGAATGAAAACTAGGGCTAAGCTGACCAAAACTCAGAGATTCCAGCAGTAATTTTGTGACATATTGAGCTGTTAGCTGCAAAATGTGGGATTCTCCTTTATATGGAGGGGATAATGACCAGACATGCCCATGGGCTTGTCTTCAGTCTCCTGACAGATGGCCCTGGGAGAGCTGTAGGTTGATGGCCTGGGCAGGGATTGACAGCTTGAAGTTGTCATATGAGTAGGATGCACAAAAATATAATTTTTCCTGTGCTTTAAATTTTTGATGCATCTTACAAAAAATAATTTGTTTCCATGGAACTGGACAACTTCTGTAACGTTTTCATCACATGTATTGTCACTCTAGGCAAACGTCCATCTCCATGTTTACTTGGACATCACATTTGCTGTGATTATGCTCTGAGAACATTTCCATTTCCCTGTGAATGTGATGCAGGTTTATTCCTTTACCTCACAAATTTCTCACATAAGTAAAATAGCACATTTATCATAGGCTTCTACTTGAGGAGGTGAAGCAAATCTCTATCTCCAAATTGCAACATTTCTATCACAATACTTTCGGCTGATTTAAAAAAATACACCACAGAGATCTACTGAGAGATCAGCAGCTCCCTCAAGTAACTAAACAGTTTTCCTCAAAACCCCAAAGAAAAGTAGGTCACTGAAGAGAAAACTAATTTTGAAATTTGTGTTGTTCAACAGCCTCCTCGAGGGGATGGTTGTCTTTTGGGAGAGCCAGGAGTATTAGCAGGAATGGCAGGATGGGAGATTGAAAGCTGATGCAGAAGGGAAGAGGTTCACTACGATCTGCTGTGACATACCTGGGGTGGGAAGAGGAGTAGAGTCATTTCCTCAATCCTTCCTGCCCTCACCCAACCTGCTCCTTCACTCCAGTGTGCCCTGGCTGCCTTCCCACACCACGGGAGACAGCCCAGGGCTCTTCCAACTGATGCTGCCTGATCAGGAAGAGGAAAACAAAAACTCACTTCTTGATTTTGAGTAACAATATCCATGTAAATGAACCACCAGGAGTGAAGGATGAGCACTGACCGTAAAATACAAGACCAAGATGTCATATTAGGAAATGAAGTGTTATCCCAGAATTTGATCAATGCAGGAAGGAGTTGATCAATGGATTTGATCAATGCGGGAAGGAGGAATGCAATGGAAGAGCTCAGAGCTCCTTCCTTGTTTTCCAGAACACAGAAAGGTTTGAGCTTCTGTAAATAGGCTGTAGGCCCCTCCTTTTGGTTTTATTTTGTGTATTTTTCAGGAGTTCCTCAACATTTCAATAATATATTCAATGTTATTTTATACCTACAGTTGCCAGTGAAAAGTTTAGAAAGATACCACACACACACATTATGCTAAATTAAAACCAAGAAAATTAAACTGTTGTTTGGCATGGAAAAAGATGAAATTGGGTAAGTATAACTTGACTTTAACAATCATGAAATACAGAATAATATTTATTCAAATAACCCAAGCACACTGTAATAGATCTCTCTATGCTACGTGCCTGTACATCGCTATCATATTTATAAAGATTATGTGTAAAATCAGTCATAATAAAAATTCGTGCTTCAGACTATCTTTTTTATTTTGGTTTATTTGGTTTTTATTTTGGTTTTTATTCCTTTTGAAGTTAAGATATTGCTTAGGTCAGGAATAAATTACATTGTTACTGTTTTGGTTATTCAGCTGTGTTGCTACTCCTAAGAAGTAATGGACCTCGGATAAGAATGAAAATTTGATTATATAAAGAAGATCAAGAGATTATGCTGCAAAAATAAGCAAAGGTAAGATTTCATGGAAAAAAATATTAACCACACAACAAATGTCAGAAAAAGAGATCTAGCAAACTAAAGGGAAGCAAGGAATGGATGCTAAAAGAGATTGCAACTTTTTGACAAAGTCCAAATCAACAGTAGGGACGGGAGGTGAATAGTGCAGCTTGCAAGGCAGAATACTTATTTCCCCTAAACCACATACAGAGAATTAAATAGCTAAAGTGGATAATCTGCAAGAATACTAACACCTACACTATTGAAGTAACTAGGTGAAATGAAAGCAAAGCTCTAGAAAAGATGCGCAAAAAAATTATTAAAACCAACTATAACAGATGAGAAGGGGAAAAAAAAATCTTTCTGCAGCTCTGAAGAGAACAAAAGTGGTCTTTTGAATCTAGACGAATATAGGGAAAATCACACTAATGACTATAATGGAAAAGGTATATAGTATTAATTAAATACTGAGAGAAGTAATCGTCAGGGAAGCATATGCTCTATAGTCATGCAGAAACCTTACTGAGCTCTTGGTTGTATTCTATTCATGCTTGTCCTGGTTTTTGTGACACAGGACTTCTAATGCTTGGGAAAACTGCCATTTTAGAAGGCTCTAGTGTCTGAATTCATGAAAATATTTACTTTATAGCCAGCTAGGCTATGTGGGATTCAAGGTCTCTGTGTTTTTGAGCCTTGCCAGGGGCAGGGATGAGGAGGAGCAGGATTTTGGCACTTGACCCAAGCTGGCCAACAGGATTGTTTCATACAATGAATGTCACATGCAATATAAATAAGAAAGTTTGCTGCGTAGTTCAGTTTCTCCCTTGATAGTGGTGATCCAGAGAACTTCTTGTCCCGGTTCTGGACCCCTGAGCCCTTCCTTTCCTGGTGAAGCCGTTGCACTTGCAGTGTCCGAGACTTGCTGTCCACTGCTGGGAGTGCACAGCTTCCTGCTGATTAAATGGGCTGAGTATAATCCTTGTTTATTTTAGATAAGTATCACTATCAATACTGTTCGTTAATTATTTAGTCTTATACTATTAGATCTATTTATATTTCAACCCTCATGTTTCCTTGTTTTCCCCAATTCCCCTTCCAGGCTGGGGAGGGTCATTGGGTGATAGATTGATTGTCTAAACAACAATAAAATGTTATGCATTTCTCAAACCATAGCAATGCTGTCAATGTGGGGAGAAAAAAGGCTGCATATAAATTCTTTTTTTTTTTCCTCAAACACTAAGTGAACTGATAGAGTACTAAGACACAGTAATTCTCACATAAACTGAGGAGCTTCATCAGCGCCAACAGCACCATTAAGGTTGATATGCAAAGATAATTACATCTTTGCTATTTCTGTATAAGTAAATCAGGTGATATTAATAAAGGCTGATAAACACTACAAAACTGGCTGCCTACATGTGAAAATAGACTTAGCAAAATGGTGGGAAACGTAAGCTGAATTAAATAACATATATACTACAAGGGTACAGAGAGAAAGAAAAAAAATAATAATCCCAAACCACCCCACCCAAAATAGAAAACAAAGAGGAAATTCTTTCAAGAAAAAAAGATGTAAAGGGACAAATAATGAACAGTGAGAGCTCAAAGAGAAAGGGCTGTGAAACTACCAAGCAGAAACTTCACGATCAAGAAGCATTGTACTAATGGGAACCAAGGAAACAGGGGAAAATGGGGAGGATCAAAAAAATGGCAAATGCCTGACCAAACATGAAAAATAAAAAAAACCTGTGTATTGCACAGATAGAACCGGGGAAAAACTCCTGACAAGAAAGAGATTGTAAATGCGAATGCTTGGGATTGCATTTATTTGATGCTCCTTCGAGAACAAAGTAAAAATAAGCTTAAATAGATATATTCACGATAATTTTAAATACTAAAGGCAGAAAACGTAAGAGTACGTGTGTGCCCGCACGCAAGGTTTCGCGGGCTTTCTACACCGGTCGTGCCTGCGGGAGTCACCGCAGCAGCTCCAAAAAGAACGGGCGAGGAAAGGGGAACAGCACCCCCCGCGACCTCCCCCCGGAGGAAAAGACGGAGAAGACGGAGAAGAACGCCGTGGCCACCGAGTCCCCCCCAAAACCGCGACCCGCTTTCTGCCAGCGCCGCGAAATGGCGGCGGCGGCGGCGCGCGGGAGGGGCGGGGCGGCCCCGCGCCGGCGGGAAACGGCGCTGGCGGCCCCGCCGCGCCCATTGGCTGGATTTTGCTGCAGCCCC